AAAAAACTCTATTAGCATCTTTTCCAGAGAATTTAAATTGCAACAAAAATCAATTTCTTAAAATTACTGTAATTTTTAATTCACTTTTAAATATTTTGGTTTAGCGTATAAATGATTTTTTTTGTCGATAATATAAAATAATAGATGGCGTTATGGTATCTAAAAATGTTAAATCTATTATATTTTAAACTTATACATACACGTGTTAAAAAGTTTGTCTAAGTTATAATAACATATCTTAAGTTTAAAATTGGTGGCACCGAAGTTTTACCTATTTAATATATTGGAACTAATTCAATTTAACTCAGATACTAGATAAATAGGATTAATTTTTAATTTCTTGCTGATTTAAAAGAACATCTAAATTCTCTTGAACATCTAAACATCCAGTTTCTACAACCTTCTTATACCAGTAAATAGCGCTTTCTACATTTTGTTCAGTCCCTTCACCTTGTTCATATAAGTATGCAAGACGTATTTGCGCATCAATGTTTCCTCCTTCCGCCGCTATTTTATATATCTCAAATGCCCTTACTTTATCAATATCAGTTCCAATTCCTTTTTCATAAGACTGTCCAAGTTTATATTGAGCGTCAATAAATCCTTGATCAGCTGATTTTCTATAAAATTCAAATGCTCTATCTTTATTTTCCCAAACACCTTTACCTAATTCATATAGTTCACCTAATTTATATAATGCAAGTTTATTATCATCTTCTGCAGCTTTGTGATACCAATAATTAACTTTGTCTAAATCATTCGCTAATTCTTCTTCATTATCAATAAGATCAATTTGAATACTACCACCAGATCCCTCATTATATAATTCAAATCCTTTTTCTTTATTTATTTCAGTTCCAATACCATTTACATAGTAATATCCCAGTTGAAATTTTGAATCTATATCTCCTTCATCAGCTAGTTTCTTATAATATTCAAATGCTTTAATTTCATTTTTATATACACCCTTTCCAAATTCATAACATTCGCCTAAATTATATAATGCTGTTTTGCATCCATTATTTGCTGCCTTATAATACCAGTAAATTGTTTTTTCAAGATCTTTTTCTGTACCTTCTCCTTTTTCATATAAATAACCAAGATGTGTTTGTGCAAAAACACATCCGTTTTCAGCTGCCATTTTAAATAATTCAAATGCTTTAATTTTATTAATTCCAATTCCAATTCCATTACTATAACAACATCCAAGTTGGAATTTTGCATCTAAATATCCTTGATCAGCTGATTTTTTTAAGTATTCAAAAGATTTTCTTTCATCTTTTTCAGTTCCTTCACCAAATCTATATAAAATTCCAAGATAATATTGTGCAATTTTATGTTCTTTATCAGCTGTTTCTTTATATAACACAAACGCTTTTGTTTTATCAATTTCAGTTCCAATTCCATTAGAATAACAATATCCGAGTTCAAATTGTGCATTTAAATATCCTTGATCAGCTGATTTTTTATAATATTCAAATGCTTTAACTTCACTTTTTTCAACTTTTATTCCAAATTTATAATAAGAAGCTAAATTATACTGTGCACTTTTACATCCATTTTCTGCTGCTTTAGTGTACCAATAAATAGCTTTTTCTAAATCTACTTCTGTACCTAGACCGTTTTCATATAAAGATCCAAGGTCACGTTGTGCGACAATATGTCCTTTTTCTGCAGCAATTTTATATAAATCAAATGCATTTTCTATATTATTAATAACTCCAATTCCATTTTCATAACAATAACCAAGTTCAAATTGAGCATCCAAATATTCTTGGTTGGCAGATTTTTTATAATATTCAAACGCTTTGTTTTCATCTTTCTCTAAACCATTTTCTCCATTTTTATAGAAATTACCCAAATTATATTGTGCGAATTTATTTCCATTTTCCGCTGCTTTTTTATACCAGTAAATAGACTGTTCCAAATCTTTTTCTATTCCAATTTCATTTTGATAATAATCACCTAATGCATTTTGTGCAAGTGAATAATCTCCTTTAGCAGATTTAATATAGTATTCAAGAGCTTTCTTATCATCTTTGTTCGTTCCTATTCCATTTTGATAACAATCACCTAAATTATACTGCGCATGTAAATCGCCTTCATTAGCAGCTTTTAAATATAATTCAAATGCCTTGTTTTCATCTTTTGTTATTCCAATTCCATATTGATAACAATATCCTAGATTATTTTGTGCACTAGAATTTCCCTCCTCTGCTGATTTTAAATAAAATTCAAATGCTTTAAACTCATCCTTATTTTTTCCTATTCCAAATTGATAGCAGTAACCTAAATTATTTAGTTCTATTAATTTTTTCTTTTTATCATATTCCAATTTATTTTGTTTAAAACCTTTATCCGCCAATGATTCATAATACTTCTCTATAGTATTTATTTCATCTTTACATAAGTTTATTTCTAATCCATTAAAATTTTCAAATTGATCATATGAAAGATTTTCCAACCTCTTCGTGATTGTATTCTTTTTATCTAAAATAATATCTTTATAATAATAAAATGATAATAAATATTTTGCAATAATAATATTAAGTAAATGATACATAGAATTAATTTCATCTTTTTTAATTGATAATAAATATAATTTCAAAGATTCATTTTTATCAATAAATTTGGTATCATCAAAACCTATATCATGTTCATAAAAAAATCCTATTAAACTTGAAAACCAATTTTCACTTTCTTCATGATTTTCCATTAAATTTAAAATTATTTCAGTATCTTTTTCATTATAAATGAAATAATCTTCCGTCCATTCCTTTAAAATGATTTCAAAATTAGGATAATGTTCTATTTTTATAATTTGACGATAAAAATCTTTTAAAAATTCTTTCAAAAAATTTTCATCCTCTTTTGAAATAATAATATTATCATTTAAAGTCATTGTTTGTTTGAAAAAGTTTTCCGAAAAAAATTTTTTAAGTTTTTATATGCAATCGTGAAACTGTACATCATTTCACAATTGAAATTGCGTTACAACGTTACATTGTACTTTGTAAATTATTCTGTACTACGTCACTAAATGATAATGAAATCGTTACATAAAAGTTCACTCAAAGAAATCGTTGACAAGTCATAATATCGTGTAACGGCGTAACGCGTATACAATTATTATCTACATTTAAATTGAGGAAATATAAATTAATCGGTAAAATGCTTGGCCAGGATTAACGGAATTATTATGGTTACGGTACGTTTCGCCTTAGTCCATTTCGCTGGAGGACTTTTCGCCAAAGCCATTTCATCGAAAGAATGTTTTGCCGAAGGGACATTTCGTCGAATGGAAATTTCTCTGAATGGACATTTGCCGAATCCTTTTCTTCGAATCATCCATTTCACCGAAATCTACAGGACATTCCGCCAAAAATGTTAAAGATTACATTTTATCATTAAAAATTCAATCTAAATAAGCGATTTTTATTAATAAATATTAAACTATAAATCGAAATAAATATTATTAATAATGCTTTTAGTAACAAAATCTTCGTAAATATCATATGAATATTTTGGAAAATATGATTTGAAATTTTTGGTGAAATGACTTAGGCAAAAGTTCTTCAGCAAAATGTCCATTCGGCGAAATATCCCTTCGGCGAAATAATTTCGGCGAAAAGTCAGGATACCAATTATGATAGGATAAAAAAAAATTTTAAATCTGACTGGTAGTAGTAAGTAATATTTATAAGTTCCGAGAGGGCTTTTTTTCCCGGAATTATTTCATAACTTGGGAGCAACTGAAATTTCTCTAAATTTACTTTTATATAAGTCCTTTTTTTTAATTCTCACTAAACAACCATCCGCCATGAATAAAAAAATTTTTTTTTTTTGTGGCGTAAATTGATTGAGACTGATAGATTCGAGATTATCAGGTCCATGATCTTTTTTTTTAAAAAAATTTTAAAAATTTTTCGCTATAGTAACCCACCGGGTATTTCAAAAAGGTTCGATCCATAGTGTTTTTATCTGGATTCTCATCTGGATTAAATTTCTTCTTGAGTGACGTACTACTCAAACTCCTGCAGAAGTACTCTGTAAAAAATTTTATCCGTAATTGCTGTAAAAATTCAAATTCCGTGAACATGATACATTTGCGGAAACAACATAGAATAAAAAAAAACGAAATAAATTATTTTATAGGGTAATTGTAAGTTGTATTTTGGCCAAAATCATAAATTTTAAAGTCGAGGTATATTAATATTAATCATGTGTAAAACTTACTAATCTTTACCAATATAAAATACAATAATGGATAAATTTTATTACAAATTAGAAAAAGTGCTTAAAACTATCACTTTAAACCAATAATGTTTAATTTTGTAAATCCTACATAGAGGATCGTGTACATGTGTCAATTTATTTGCCGTGAATTTGAGTGCTAAAAAGTTTTTGATAAGTTTTCTATCATAACACAAACTTCCGATTATAGGAATTACTAGCATATTTTATACTTTTTCATTACATCATCTCGTAAGATTTTTAAATTTTATACAATTTTAATTTTAATATAATAGTAATAGTACATCAATTTAGAGTAAAGATATAAATAATATTTTTAACTATATCGTGTGCTTCAAAAATTCTTTTTTTTTTTTTTTGGTAAAAGTTACGATTTATTTGTATAAGATGCAGAACTTAAACAAAATAAAAACCTATATAACATTACGTTTATGAAACATTGAATAGATGCCACTCCTGTCATACCAAAACCTTTGCTATTCTTCCTAACTACATACAAAGTTACTGACCTTCACCTTTAGTGTGGCGGCTATTGTGAAACTAACAGCTAACTCTTTTATACTGTTGAACTCAAAAAATAAATTAACCCCTCCAAAATAAATTTTAAAGTTGAAATGGTCATTTTGCTAGTTACATTTAACATCATGGTACGCACGTACATTTTTTGTGAAAATTGAAATTTTCACTGTCTATGATATTAGCAAAAAGCCACATTCACTAAAACTTACCTCCAATGCCCGATAATATTATGCCTTTCTGTTTGTAACTCTGAATTTCTTCAGCCTACCTTCCGGTTTGTCTATCTCCACTCTTTTCGTTTTATCTTCTTTCGCTAATCTTGCCGCCATCTTCTCATTGTTAGTGTGATACTCCTCAAATTCCTCACGTGTTTGGATTTTGTTTGAATGAGGGATAAAATTGGTGGGAATAATACTTTGTTTCAACTTTACCTCCCCTTCCAGTTGTTTTGTTAACACCTCCCACGCGTTCCGATCATATTGTTCCGTATACTCCATTTTGCTAAAGATTTCAACTCTGGCTTCATTATTATACTCAACCACGTCCTCTTCTGTCAGGGAATCCCTTGGTTTTTCCAGGAGTTTTGCGAGAGGTCGATGTGATAACTCATCCGGTGAATCTTCTATTTCGCTCAACGCCCGTTTTCCTCCTCAAGATCACGTGATTGTTGGCTGTTCCTCAGGTCGTCTATTACTTTTACGACTTCCTCTGGTTTGACTGATGGATGTATCACTTCTTTACTCATATTCGCCTCCTTTTCTACGAGCCCGTCCAAACTCCATCCATGTCCAAGTGGACCAGGAACGGAAATATAGGATGAGCCAACGTAATCAGAGAAAACAAGCTTTATTCGATCGACATGAAAAAAAAATTATCATTAGATTCGGATAACTTTCAAGGTGGTCTTTCACTTCCCTGAACGTCCGAAATAAAATTTTTTCCATTTCCTTTTTCTGCCGTATATCTTCCAGATCCTTTGTGACTTGTAGCAAGTCAAAATTTTCCAAGGACAGACTTTTATCACTTTTGAAAATGCGATCTTAGGATACGAAGCCACAAGGGCTTTAAGGTATTTCGGTTCATCATCTGCTCTCTTTACGTTCTATCTCCGATACATCCATCCACAGTTGTCATTTGTCTCTTTCCCTTCTCTCTTTCACCGTTGATTTCCTGTCGTACCACCTTATAAATACTCCAATAACAATAATTCCAAATTGTACATTCTGAAATTATCTATCAAACCGGTCTCCTAATTTTACTGTTATTTTGACCGTTTGATATTTGTATTGTTTTTTGATCGACATCCTATACACTTTGTCACTAATCTTTTTGACCATATCCTCATTTGTCCATCGTTTCGGTATAAAGATTTCTCAAACATGATCTACTTTTACGTTATCATCAGGCGGAAGGACCGGAAGATTGACTGGATTTTTATCCATTTTAGTCTTTTCTTTATCTTTTTGTGCTTCCGATCGACGTTATCATTGTTTAACGTTATCTCTGCGATTATTCGTTCCTACCGCAGCCATCCTCGTATAATGAAGTGTTATTTTTCCCAAGACGGGTAGTGTCTTTTTCATAGCTTTCATAAGCTATATCACCACAAACCTTTATTATTAACTCTGTTATTTCAGCTCTTGTATTCGTATTTTTCCCTATTTCTTCAAAAGGCTTTCCTTTACTATTGTATTATAGGCTTCTCTTGCACTTTTTCCATCTATCTTTCTATATTTTGATAAAGCATACCTTATTTCTTCGTAGAACTTTTTAAGAACTCTTTCTTTTTAATATCGTCTCCATATTAGTATTTACTGACGAAAATCATAAATTCTTAACTTCCAAAAAATTTAATATTGTACTGCGGATTTATAGGATTTATAGTAAAAAAGAAGGAAGTTGGCTTTTTTTCTTTTTTATGTCTCATGTGGAATTGAAAAATGTCCTTATAACTAGATAGCTAGCCGCTAGCTATCAGATATAAAGTCTAGTTATAATCTTAAAATTATAAAAATCATATTGATAATATCGATGTATTGTTAGATGTTATTAAATATAAGTAGAAAGTTTGGTTTTATGATTACTATAATTATTGCATTAGATTATAGTAACCTTGATTCCAGAAAACAAGTAAACAATTAGTACACCTATCAACTATGGTATTAAAATTTAGGCTATAGATAAGGATGTTCGGGTAAATAAATAAATATGGTAAAGATGTGAAAAAAAAAACACTCTCCTGCATAAATCGATTTTCATAATAATCCGCAGTAAAATAAAATTTATTAGAAATATGGGTATAACACCATCAAGAGAAGACTTCGTAGCTCTGGAAGGATACGCAAAAAAAAGCGAAGAAGAGCGCAGAGCAATAATACAAAACGCGGGAATGGAAATAACCGATAATGACAAAGAGATAGCACAATTTTTGGGTTCAGAAGACGAAATATTAGGCTGCTTTATTAGAGGAATAATCATGATATGCCTAAGACATTTCAACAACCAAAGAACAAAAGAATTCAACGAATACATAGAAGATTACAAGACAGCATCAAACGATATAATACAACAAAAAACTTTAGAAATGAACGAATGGGCCCGACTAAAAGAAAAACAATGGAACATCAAAGAAGAATATTATTTCAAAAATACATCGATAAAAGTGCACCAAATACAAACTGAACTAGGAGTTGTAGATAATGAAGACAGGATAAGGATTGAAAAACAGGAAAAAGAGAAAATTATGAATGAATGTAGAAAGAAAACTATGAACAACCTTGACGAGGACAGCGACGAAAACAACGATATAATTCAACATACGTGGGAAATAGAAAGTAACACACCCAGTGAAGAATCATGGAATGAAGGGAAAATGAACCAAAAATACCATGTTTACAACAAAGCATCACACCAGTCAACCGAAAACACCAATAATACTTCGGGAATGCAGGTCAAGACCAAAAATAGAAATTTACAAAATCAAGAGACCAATCATTAACAATGGCTATCACCGCTGATCACAACATGGGAGAAAATCCCAATAAAAGTAAAGATTCCGTGCATAAACCAAAATCGGAAAAAGATCTGAAATATTTCACGCAACTTTTCACAATCCAAATAAGGGACGGACAAACTGACCAATTGATAATAGAATACCTCAACACCAATAAAATTTTAGAATATCATGTGAACACACTTGGGAGAACTACCCATCACGGGAACGAATACACGTACTTGGGCTTTTTCACAGAAGCAGCGAAAAATGATTTTATTAACGACGGAAGAATATTGGGAACGATAGAAAAATTCAGAGACTTAGAATGGTTAAACAAATTGAACAAAACAATCACTATATCAGCAACTGGAATAGACGGAGAAAATACAGACATAAACGAAGTTATCCAAGCAATAGAAGACAAACTAGGTAAACTTAAAAACGTAACACAAAAAATAGGAAATGAAAAATGGATAAGCATGAAACTAGAAATGGACATTAAATGTACAGAAGATGAACTATTCAATACCTGGGGAGTCCTAGTTAAAAATAAAATGATAAAAATCAAACCAATGAATTACAAATATCACATAATCAAACAACGAGGAAGAATTATGGCAGAAATACTCGATATACCCAACAAAATCGACGAAACAACATTCTCAAAAATACTTAAGACTACCAGCGCAAGATATTGGTTTAAGATCAACAACAGGACGAAAGGAACATACAACATGAAGATATACTTCAACAACGAAGAAGACAGAAAACAAGCAATTAGCAAAAAAATCAAAATTGACGGAAAGATTTTTACTTGGTTTTTTCGAACTGGATCGGGAAGACAGAATAATTTTCGTAACGAAAGAAGAAATGATAACGGATTTGGCAAACGATTTCAACAAGAAATGTACGATGGAAGAAAGGCTGAAAGATCCAGATGCAATATATGCAAAAAGAACAACCACATCACAGACGAATGTTATTTCAACAATAGAAATAGAACACATGAAAACAGAAGAAACAGGAACGATAATCAGAATGAAGCGTATAGACATAGAAAAGGCAGATATGACAATGAAGGAAAGTTCAGATATGACACGCAACAACAACAATTTAGGAACATGACGACAACAGATACAACGCTTACATCAAAAGAGGAAAACATACACACCCAAGAAGAAGATTTAATAACAACTATAACAGAGAAAATGGCAGAGATGAGACTAGAGGAAACCGACAAAGTTTTTACTACTAGCAACAAAGATATAATGGAAATAACGACTACAATAACAACGGTCACAACGCTGAGAGATACAACGAGAACGGAAAAAATAACTACAACGGATACAACAGAGATTGGAACGAAGGAAACAGTTCCAATGATAGGCGTCAAATGGCTAGACGCTATTGACTGGCAATTATACCAAAACACAACAATAGAAGAAGAAAATAAAGAAGAAGGAGGCGTAGGCGAAGAAAAGTCAAAAAAGAACGAAGAGGAAAATATCACAACAAACAAAACAAAAAAAGAAAAAATTTACAAAAAACAAAAACAACAAGAAAATAATAAGAAAAAAGAAAAAAATAACAAACTAAAAATAGGTTGCATAAACGTAAGAGGGATGAACGATAATAAAAAACAAGGTGATATACGAAAATTTTTATCAAAAGAAAACTGGGATATAGCAATAATTAATGAAACTAAACTTAAAGAAGCAAAAGGTAAATATATATACAAAGGTTGGGATAAATACGAATGTATTAACAGTAGCTACAACAACGAAAATAATAAGAACGGAATAATAATAATAATAAGAAGAGATATCTATGATAGAAGATATAAGATAGAAACAATTAATGGTCACGTGATTAAATTCGACTTACTATTCAAAGGAAACCAGAAAAACATAAGAATCATAGGAATATATAACCCAAATAACGACAAACCAACTACGAATAATATAGAAAAACATTTGGCAAAATGGATGAACGAAGCAATAAATTTAAATTATGAAACGATAATTTTGGGAGACTTCAATGAATCAGCAAAAAACAAGAAAAAATTAAAACCGTTAATGAACACAATCAAGAATTATGGCTTACAAGACATTCACGAAAGTTTAACAGCAGCGGAAGATAGACTAGACACATGGAAAAGTGGAGATAATTCATTCAGGATAGACTTTATTTTCGCAAGCGAAGGCTTTCAAGAAAGTATTATAAGTCATGAGATACTAGAAATAGAAGATTTCGACACAGATCACAAAGCACTAACAGTTAAAATAGAACTTAAAGAAAAATTAGGAATAAACAAATCCGGATTTATGAAAAAAATAAAAAAGGAAATAAGACACATAAAATTAGAACAAGAAGATTGGAAAGCAATAGCAGAAGAAGTAGAAACAAGATTAGAAACGCTAAATCAGAATACAACACAACATTTAAATAGAGAAACGATATGGAAAATGATAGTAGAAATATACGATGAAGAAAAGAATAGACAACTAATCAAAATCAGAAAAAGAAAAGAAGATTCGAAAAAAGAAAGAGACGAAAGTTTAACGAAAACAAATAAAGAAAGACTAGAGGAATTAATCACAGAATATGAAAATTTAGAAAAAATTGACATGATAGAACACGGAATCAGCAAGTTAACAGATAAAGTTATAAAGAAATTATGGCAAGATAGAAAAGCCTTTCAATACAAACATAATTTCAAAGAATTCAAAGAAAAAATAATAATAGAGCAATGGGGAACATCAGATACAGGAAAACACAATGCGGTTAAACTAGGAAAATTAATCAACATACACGACAGACTTGAAAAAAATATTGAATACGGAATCACGATAGATAAACTAAGAAAACATAGAAACTGCAAAGATTTAAAAGAAAGAAGAACAAAAAGAGCAGAAATTATGAGAAGCATATATGAGGAAATTAATAGCTTGAATATAGAAATAAACATAAAAAAACGTGAAACGTACCTAGAGAAAGACATAGGAAAAATGTTAAATAGAATTCTAGAAAAAAAGAGAGAGAAAATTAATATGACAGGATTAGTAATAAAAGAGAATGGGAAAATCACGATAGAAAAAGACAAAAAAAAGATAAAGGAAAAAGTGTTAAAATATAACAAAGATTGGACAAAGAAAAGAGAAATAGATCTAGACGAACTAGAATATGATCCAGAGTGGAGAGAGATCTATACATTTAATGAAGATATAAATGAAAATATTTACAAAAATTTGATGATACCGATAAAGATGGAAGAACTAGAAAGAGTACTACAAAACCTAAAAACAAATAAAGCACCAGGATCAAGTGGTATAACTTACGACTTTTGGAAGAAAAGTGGAAACCTAACGAGGAATTTATTACTAAACATTTTTAACGATAGCATGGCTAAAGAGAACGTAACAGACGAATGGAAGAAAGGATTTATATACCCAATAAATAAAACTTCACGTTCAAATTGGAATCAAGATTTAAACTTGACAAGACCCATAGTGCTCTTAGAAACAGCAAGAAAAATTTGGTTTAAAATATTGGTAAATAGACTAGGCAAAATTTTAACAAAAGAACAGATTTTGACAAATACGAATTTGCAGCATTAAAAAATGAAAGCACCCTAGAGCCAATAAAAATCATCCAAGCAATAATAGAAGACGCTAATAATTATAAAAAAGAAGCATGGATACTATTGATGGATATCTCCAAAGCTTACGATTCAGTAAGCACAACAATGCTAAAAAGAAGCCTAGAAAGAATTAAACTGCCATCAAATTTTATCAACATAGTCATGGACGTCAATTTAAATAGATTTAACAGGGTGCTAGTAAACAACGAACTTACTGATGAATACCATGTAGAAGACGGTATCGACCAAGGCGAAGTATGGTTGCCGATACTGTGGAGAATTTTTTACGATCCGCTTCTAAGTAGATTAAATGAAATGAAAGAGGAGACAGGTTATAACTTATATGAGGAAAAAATAATTGACAAAAATAAAGAAGATAAAGAAATATTTGAAATATCGATTAACGTTACGGCATTTATGGACGATACAACGCTTATCAGCAAAAATAAAAACAATTAGAAAAAATGATTGAGATATGTCATCAATTCTTCAATATAAATGACATAAAAGCAAACGTATCGAAATATGAACTTATAAAAATAAACAATGATAAAGAAGAACTCTCAATTGAAGGAGAACCAATCACAAAAACAAACAGCGAAGAAGGTAATCGTTACCTAGGAATATTTTTTAGATACGACAACAAAAGAGAAATATATAAAAAGAAGATAACATCGATAATCAATAACGCCTGCAATATATTTAATTGGAAAAGACTAAACGAAAAGCAAATCATAGCGGTATGGAATATAGTTATCGTACCAAGAATAGAGTATCAGGCGGCCATAGTCCTAAAGAAATGGGAATGTGAGAAATTGATGACAAGAATAAATGTGATAATTAAAAAAAGAGCTGGCCTAGCAAGATCAACTCCAAATTTTATAATTTACAATAAAGACATTTTAGGTATAAAACATATTTACGACCTACAGATGGAAATGATATGTAAGAATTTGCTTTATCAGGTGAATGGAAATTACAAACTACAAATCTTATTTAAAATCAAAATGATCCAAGAACAGAAAAATATATGGACTTCGAGATGTTCTGGAGAATTAGAAATAACAAATTACAGGAAAAATAATTGGATCATATCAGCTTTAAAGGCGTTAAATAACGAAAAAATTAAAATCCCTATGAAAAAAAAATCATCCAATTTTTATACAATATTTGTTCAAGTCTGTGTGGAAATTGTACAATTATTGCAGATTTTTGGATAAAAATAGCTATGAAGTTTTTCAAAGCATATTAAAAGTATGCAATTTTTGTACAACTTAAATTTAGGATATAGAAAATGTTTAATTTTTGTGTGATTTTTATACAACTTAAATTTAGGATACAGAAAACATTCAATTTTTGTAAAAAAAAAAAAAAAAAAAAACTCTTTCCATCGATCGTTAAATACCAAAAATCCACAGAAGAAATTTTCACCAAAAACCACACTTCTTTATAAACAAATGTCAATTTTTTCACCAATTTTGGTCTCTACGTTCTTCTCAGAACATTATCATATGAGTTTTGCTATAGGAAAAAAATTTTTGAAAAAATTTTTAAAAAATTTAGAAAAATCCTATCGTCCTGTTACTAACGAAGAAGACATATATTACACATATTCGTCCCCCAACAAAAAAAACAATATGACTTCCAGTCAACCTGCAGGTTCCACTCAAACTGCTAACAACACTTTAACGGACACGACTATGGAGGAGGCATCGTCCACTTCTTCCACCCATATTCTTTCGCATAATGAAATTGAACTTACATCACGTGACTCACAGGAAAATGATATTCACACGCAAACACCAATCACTGAAAATTTGACTTTTATGGATGAAGATCCCATTGAAACTAACACCGATAAGGGGAAAGCACCGGATACACAAACAGCCACACAAACAAACACCCCTAATCCGTTACAAATCACGGTGCTAACTGATATTTTTAAACAGACACCACAAGATTCGGTCAAAGCACACAAAGGATTTATCCCCAGAGATAGTTTCCCACTGAAACTTTCGAACAACGAAATTATCAATCTAATAAAGACGTCATTTATCAAAGATAGTAATGCTTTTAGATTCGACGTTAACACAACATCCACATATAGATATTTCACTATTCACTTCAGAACACGTGACTCACTCGACCACTATATAGAAAAAAGTCCAGACAGCCTCAAACACGTAAAAATTTACGAACTCACCAATGAGGCTATCAACACACTAATAGAATGTAAATTTGCTAATTTGGACCAGGCTGTCATCAAAATTATGGATATACCATACAACTACGATACGTCCATGCTCATTAAACACCTTGCCGTAAAAACTGGCAGCACCATCCTTGACCACAAGGAAATTAAAAAACCTCCAAGGAAAATTCCTAACCGCAACAACCACAGGCGCCCCATTTTCATAAAACCAGCTTACAAACAACTTATTGTCCAATTTAACAAACAATCAGCATATGATTATTTCATGAAAGAAAACTACTGGAGCCTCGAAATCAAAAATTTCGTAGTAAGGATCTTACCAGGAAACCCTGACGACACTGAATACAAAAAACGTACCAGTCACTATTTTAAGATTACTGGACTCCCACTCAACACCACAGCCAAGAACATCGAACCACTCATTAAACATGTCTATGGACGAACTTGCACCTTCACACAAACCACCAAACACTTGACTATGAAAAACGCCTATATATACATCTCACCGGATAATTACCCAATAGACGCGGTTAATGGTGTCTCTTCACAATTTGAAGGTTACAACCTCCACATCCTACCAGGACACCTATCAATCAAAACGTGTAACACTTGTGGATCACCCCTTCACGAGACAAAAGATTGTGATGAAAAAAATTTCGAAACGGATCGATTTAATCACAAAATCTTTAAAAAACGATTTATAAATCGTAATGAAGAAAAAATCACAATCAGTGAAAACCACAAAAACAGATATAACCACGTCATCACTCTTAACGCAAATAAAAACTCAAACACAACATCACAAACTTATAAATCCACCCCCATAACCACGCAATCATAACAACCGAAACCCACAATCAGACAGCTTATTATACACACGTCAAATGATCAAAAATAGGCAAAAAAAATGGCGCAAATCGTATAAACTATTCGCAAATTTGTATAAACTATTTACAAATAGTATAGGTTAATTCGTAAATAGCCAAAAACAGCCAAGAATAGCCAAGAATAGCCACTGCTTTTCGCGCCATTTTTTTGCCGATTTTTAGCATTTCGACCTGTGATACCCACGTCAAACCAAACAACCATACAACAACTCCAAAGACTGTGGCTATAAAAATAAAAATTACAGATATGACAATACCTACATCGCCCCACATATAAATAACCCCAAGAGCCAAATACCAATATCTCAGAACAGAGAATCATTCAGTTGGAGCAACAAGTATTAACACTTACAAATAATATTAAAACACTTCAAGAAGGAAAATCCCAAGTCGATAATACTATTGCCGACCTCCACCACAACCATAGTTTGATGAGCTCATCACTCAATGATATAACAACCAGACTCGACAAATATGATACAATTATCCAACAGCTCACGACTAACATTAATTTACTTAGTTAAGAAAAGATCGCACAATCTCAAGATCGCTCTATTAAAACACCAAAAAGACCCTCACCATACGACCAAACTTCATATAGGACAACAAAATCCAAATATAATTTAAGAGGCAACAAACAAGGAAGAGCCTCAGCGGATGATAGTGAACCGCCCATAGCAACTGATAATGACACCGATGCCCCCGACGATGCAGTTATGTCAGACGGTGCCATCTTTGAAGGAATCATTGACGAATTATCGAATACAACATCAACTGAGACGAAGTTCTCAGTTAAATCTTATAACCCCTTAATCTCCTCCCGCAGTTTAATGCGACACGTTAAATACGTGTTTACCATTATTACTACTACCCTTTCTTTTTTGGACATCTTCTTTGGATTCATCCAATTTGTTATAATGGCTTAAATTTTCAATTCACAGATTCATATTTTAAAGATATTTTTTATGGAACACACCAATTTGAAACTCCCAGCTGGCCTCGAAAACCAGCCTTTTGAACCTAATATACAATATTCTTATTCTAAATTTAACAAAAATACAAAAAAACAAAAAAATTATAATAAACCTCAAAATCACAAAAATATTAATCAGTATTTTCAGACTCCCCATAATAATGATATATACACATTACATTCAAGAAATTATATTCAAGAACCTCATAATGAAGAAGACGAAAACATGTTAAATTATATTGAACACAATATATTTAACGATAACGATACAACAGAAATGGCGTCTACCTCTCATCCACACGGCACTCCTATTCAACCATCTTCTCAACCTCATTCACAATTCATTGATTACCATAAATTTGGTACAATTAATATTCAAGGAGGATACAATAACAAATTAAATGACATCCTTCATTTTTTTACACTTCATAATTATGACATACTTATTCTTTCTGAAACAGGTCTTCATCAACATACCAAAATTGACATGGACTTGAACAAAACAAATCATTCAACACACTCATTCCCATCACTCAACCATGATAATATTAATCAAAACGTTCACATATATACAGATAACAACGGAAACACCAAAGGCAGTGGTGTCTCTATGATAATCACAGATCAATTACAAAAGCATATCATCAAAACCGATACTTTTTTAGGTCATATTTTAACGGTAGACCTGTGCTTCAAAGGCAACCATTATATCAAATTTATATGTTGCTATTTACCAGCTAACGCTTCTGAAGACAAAGAATTAATTATTAATTGTTACAAGGAAATAGAAAACATTCTAATTAATGCTATGCATAATCACTTTGAATGTATAGTTATTGGTGATTTAAATATCAGTTTCGATAAAATGAAAAAATCCAACCACTATCCTATTTGGAGACGAGAAATTAAAACAATCTTTAAAAATTTTGATCTTAAGGATGTGCTCAAATCCTTTCATGAACGCCCATCACCTACACTGCTACACATAGTAATAAACGAAATGAAGGATTCGATATACAATCCCGTATCGATTATATATTTACCTCACCCAATATCCTTCATTATAGTTTTTACGCCTATACTCATAGTGTTTCGGAAGATCTCTTCAATACAGATCATAAGGCTTTAAGTTGCTATTTAATGCAAGATTATTTCAAAAACAAGTCCAATAGCGCAAGGAAAAGCTTAGAAAAATCACCTACGTACAAACCTAATACGAAGCCTCAAATTCATTATAAATACAGTTCCATGACCACTGAATCTTGGTCTAATTACAAACTTACTAACGGTATTATATACCAACAACAATTAAATAATATGACCTCGTCCAACAAAACACCAGAACAACAAATTGAATTCTTTTGGTCTAATATCAAAGAAATAATTAACCAAGCCAAAGAAAAGTGTATTCCCTTTTCTACACATAAGAAATACACTAAACACGATCGTTCCCTTTATTTACGACAAAATAATAACAAAATACTAACACTTCATACAATTTTACGAAAATTTTCTAATATCAAAATAAACAGAATTCAACAAGATCACGACAAATGGAAAGATTACTGGAAATCCTGAGGTACACTACGAAATCAAATCTTGGCCATCGATGTTCATTTCAATGCCAAACGTACTATTTGGTTACCAATTAATTTGACGATCGATAATATATTAAATGCCAAAAAAGATTTACAAAGCCTTTTATGAGTAACTATTGTATTACAAAAAAAAGAAGAAGACTCATGGACTATTAACAACATCAACAAATATATTAATGACAGGAACAATAATTTAATCCACGATCAAAAAAGGATGATTAATAGTATCCTTGACCGTAAACCTCAAAGGATAACTTTAGATCGGTTACATTATTACGATCAACATACTAATCAATTTCAATTTACTAACAATCCACATATTATAGCAGAACATACTAATTTACATTTTCAAAGATTAGGTAAAAGTCTTAATGAAATTAATGACGTTAAAACATACAAGTCAATTCACGATCTTCCGTTATATTGGAGATCGACCTATGAACCCATCAACAATCGTAATTGTAAACACATGAAATCACTTTTGGAGGATTTTTCAAGTGAAGAATTATCCCAAGTCATATCATCACTTCCTAATAACAAAGCCGCAGGCATCTCTGGCATCACATATGAAGACATCAAACATACACATCAAGACTTCAGAGAATATATTAAACAATTCTTTAATTATATTATGCAGGTCCAGATTTACTCAAGGGATTGATTACATGCGTTTCTCTTCCCTATTCCCAAACTGAAGGCTTGGGACTGCAAAATAGAAAATACACGACCTATAGTCTTGTTGGAAACGTTCAGAAAATTATTTGTTAAAATTTTAACGCAAAGAATTAATATTATGCTTACGACATATAACCTGATTAATGAAAACAATCGTGCGGGTTTGACGGGACAATCTACGTTACAACCACTACAAGTTATCCAACACATAATTGAATCTGCTTATAAGGACAAAAAACAACTTTGGATTGGTTTACAAGACCTTAGCAAGGCCTATGATAGAGTTAATCTGTCCCTATTGAAATTAGCATTAGAACGCCTTCACTTTCCTACCAAAATCACCACTCTTTTAATATCTTTATTCAGTGATAGGAAAAATAATGTTATATTACCTTTTGGCTTGTCCGCTGATTATGATGTAATTCAAGGCATAGACCAAGGAGAAGTCATCAGCCCTATATTATGGATTATTTATCAGTGTTCGGAAATGACCTGGTCATTTGACCATTTTTCGGATTAGGAGTCATTTGGTCAAATGACATCCCATCATTTGGCATTTGGCATTTGAATTATTCGCGAAATGACAAATGCCAAATGATTGGGTATCATTTGACTGTTATTTGCGTCCTTTGTCATTTGGTCATTTGTCATTAAAATATTTAAAGATTATTGGACAATTTATAATCACGTGATGTACAAAAAAGGAAGGAAATAATCACAAACAGAATCAATTTCACCAAATTATTTATTTTTTACTGTAATCTGAAAATAATAAATAACACAACCATAACAGATAATTATTAAAGTGATAATATCTGATATGTTATTTATTATATATAATTTTATTATATAATTATATGCATAAATAAATATTATGGTCATCTTATGATTAAATATAGACAACAATTATATATAAAAATGGTGAAAAATGAGATCCACTACATGTGTTACAATTAAATATTTTATTGCAAAATTAATTAACTTTTATCTGTGTGAATAAAATGATCATTAGTGAAATAATTATAAGTAAAATAATCCTGTCTATAATAATATTATTATTAACAAATAATAACCTGTAAAAACAATAACAAAATCACGTGATTAAAAAATCTTTACTACTATTGGAACTTTTTTGATTATATATATTAAACCAATTTTGTTTTAATATTTTTGTTTTCTTAATTAAAATAAACAAAATAATTAATAAAAATTCTCAGAATATTTAATATTTTTCAAATGACTTAAATGACAGGTCATTTGAGTTGCAAATGACAAATGACAAATGACTTGTCATTTGAGTCATTTGTTCATTTCAAATCATTTGCCAAACACTGTTATTTATTATGATCCTATGTTTTCACATTTATCACAACTAACCAAAAATTTACACATTACACGTATTAATAAAATTAATAATATATACCAACCGGATACAGATCTATAGATAGACTACTTATCGTCAGTGGTGGGTTACCTAGATGATACCAGTTGGTTTGCCTCCTCCAAATCACAATTGGAATCAAATCTTCAGATAGCGAATTCCTTTTACGATATGGCGAATATCACCATTAATCACGACAAATATAACATCCTTACTAATAATCCTAAATGGTGTAATAAGGATATTCAACTTCAGGTCACCCCCTTCAAATCAATTACGATCAAAACAGCGCCTCGCGCTTCATCCAACCGAATTCTTGGAATTTATATCAACGCATTTAATTCACATACGCCAACATTGAAAAAAATCAAAAAAATTGTCAATCATTTCGTGTATACAATGCGTTTTAAAAAAATAACCCATGATCACCTTATTTATATTATCAACAAAGTATTATTACTCAAACTGGAGTATATTAATCAATTTACTATTTTTACACGTTCACAATGTGATTCTTTATTAGCTCCAGTTAAAAAACTTTTCAAACAACATTTAAAATTACCAATATCTACACACAACAATATTATTCACAACAAGTTATTCCCGTCTATTAATAGTTTTTTCTATAATCAATTTTATTCGCATATATCAATAGTCAATGTTATATTTAATACTCCTATGTTCTCCACTATTGGTTTACAAAAAATTTTAAGTACACAATATGAATTTTGGATTCCTAATTTTCCAACGTCCAAAGATTTATCTAATACTATTTTCTCAAATTATCAATCCCTTTTAACTCGACAATTACGTTTATTTAATAATTTTTATATTACTTTTTTACCACACTGTAATACATCTGTTTCCGGAGGTGGTAATTCTATAGTATCATATTTTAATTCACATGAGAGTCTACATTCTTTATCATCCAGCGACCTCCAAAGTTTATGGAAAAAACGCATAATGTTTATGGACCAGTTAGTGTCCATTGACGGTTCTTACTTAAGTACCTGGAAAGAAGTTAAAAAACAGAATCCCAAGGCAAACTTTAAGGGACCTACACCCAAGTGGTTTCAACAACTTGAAAAATCCAATATTATTGCGGCTGAAAGTTCATGACGCCTTTTACAAAACCTAAATGTTTCCCCACCAGCGCAATACGATTCTATGTCACCACCTATACGAAAAGCATCTAATTACCGCCCTAAGAACGAATGGACTATTTCTTGGGACCTTACACACCAATGTGAATTATATGGCAAAACGGTTGAACAACAAAATGATTTATACGGCACTAGCCTTACTTACCGCTGTTAACAGGTCCGTCTCAGACTCTGTCAACTATAACTAAACGTTAGGGAGTCAATAGCTATAACGTAGTTTATATCAGCAAGACACACAAAAACACAATACGAAAAATATAACACAATCACAGTTCATTTTTAATATAAGAGTTTATTAAATAGTTAATACAAGTTAATCCCTAACTTATACTATCTATTTTCTATCTATCTGACACACTGACACACACTTTAATTTAAGAAAAATCAAAAGATATTTATATAAAAATAAAATATAAAGAAAATAATATAACTAAAATAAATAAAGTAAATAAAATAAATGTAATAAATAAAAGAAATAATAAAAATAATAAAAATAACATAAATAATATAAATAACAAAAATAACAATTGTAACGTTAATCAGATCTACAAAATTATTTGATTACATAATGATTGATCTACTAATTAATCATCTGATTTTTGAATCACGTGATTTTTACTGCGCCATAATCTTCGTTATCAAATCTCCCTCACTAAATTTTGAGTTCCCACGAAAAATAATTAAAGCCAAATAAATTTTATCTTTTCTTTTCACTTCACTCCCAACCCGCTAGTAAATGAAAAAAACTGGTCATCCATGTAATACCAAAACAGTAGGCCCTCGAAAGGGACACGAACCAAAGTCCATGTAAAGCTAAGGTATTAGCCTTCTCAAATGTGGCCATCAAATGATCAGGACACGGGTGACATCGATCCTGGGAAGAAATTCATTATCAATTTAAAAGAAAATCATGAATTATGGGATCGGGATGGGCTGGTAAATCATCAGAAAATTGTTGTAAGTTTTTTTCCATAAATGTTGAAAATCTGGTAACCTAATTAAGATTTTTCTCGTCTCCTTTCTTTTCTCGTCATCATGGTATACAAGAAATACAATAACCAGAAATCTACGCCAAGAGAACGTATCAGACTAACTAAAAAGAAAAATAAATGTAGTTCTCAAAAAAACCATAATAAGCAGTTTTTTGTTCGCAAATCTAAGAAAGAAAAAGAAGAAGGAAAGGAAACGCAAAAATTATCACAAAGGGCAGTTCGAGTGGCCTCTGAATTTTTTCTTCAAAACAGGGAACTTCGTGAAGAAATAATTCAACTACGTCAAGAAGTTCAAGAACTTCAGGAGGAAGTACAAGTCCGAGAAGATTTTTCGATTATAAAATCTTCTCAAGAATCTCAGGTGCGACAAGAACTTCAACAACAAGTTCAACAACTGCAACAACAATTATCGTCGCTCCAGGAGCAACTCCAAGAAGCTTCGTCACGTGACGAATTAGTTGAACAACAACAAGCTCCTCCTCCTCCTCCTCTTACTAGTTCCGAACAGTATCAACTGGTCGCCGAGAATGAAATTATGTTGAATGATATCCAGGAATGTGACGATTTCATTCAACGGCTTAAAAATGAGAGAGTAAATGAACATCTTGCTTTTCGTCGGCAAATTTCAGCTTTGAAGGAAGATTGCAATAGGTTGCGTCGGGAAAGAAATGCTGCACACCATAGGGCTGAAGGGATGATAGTTTTGCTTAGAAATAGAGATAATTCTCGTAATCCTCCTTCTTCCGTATAATTTTCTTTTCTATTATGTAATCATCTTTTATTATTTTGTTATATAATAAATATAATATATATATGATAAAAAAAAATTTTTTTTTTTTTTTTTTTTTTTTTTTTCATAAAATTTTGTAAATTTTCTGGGGCATTGAGTCGCATATTCATGCTGATCATTTTTGATCAGTTTGTTCAACATAAAAACTAATTTGATTTGTCGATCATCATTGATTTCTAATTTTGTCAATCATTCACGATTAATTTATCGATTTTAAGGATTATCATTAACTAAATTCAGCTCCACATAATAATCGAAATTCTTGTGACTTTAACTTTTTCAACATCATAAAAGTTACTAATTTTGTTCTAAATATTTGTTCTACTCCTATATTAAGAAAAATATGATAGGTCCTAATACATCCTTGATAAAAGTGTGTCGTCATTCTAGATCTAAATAAAGTTTTCTGAGCACGTGATAATATTTGATTTTCTAATAATTGTCCAAGTTTATAAGCATAAAATAAAGTGTATTGTCTCCTTTTTAGTCGTGAATATCTTTGTAATAATTGATAGTATTGGATAAATTTTTGGTCTGATGATGATTCGTCATTTACAGGATCTACAGGAAAAATTATTTCTATTGGTTCAATTTCCATTAAATCGTTGAAAATATCTACTGGAGTCATTTTGAAAATTATTTCTTATTTACTGAACGTCTAGTCTTTTTATATTATTTATAACAACCATAGGTTGCCAATTTTGTCGATCATGATATAATTTAAGTAACGTTCCATTAACTGGAGTTATTAAAACTCGTCCTTCCAAAGTTCTTAATTTGTATGATCCATTTAATAAAACTTGATGGATGTAAAATGGTCCTTTCCATTTAGGGTCTAATTTTCCAGACCATTGTTTTTCTTTAGCTGCATTAAAATAAAGAACTTTGTCTCCTATTTGGTAAGAAATATTTTTCTTTAATTTTGCGTCATGTCGATCCTTTTGTTTCTGCTGTGATTTATTGATCTGCACACGTGCCTCTTCTCTGATTTGTGGTACATCATCAATTAAATGTTTGACACGTTTTAATAAAGTATCAGAATTATTACACAAATTATCATCATTATCTATTGGTAATTTTGCTGATCGTCCATATACTAAAAAGAAAGGTTCTATTTTTGTTGAAGAATTTTTACTGGTTCTATATGCAAATAAAATTGGTGCGATAAATAAATCCCATTCATCAGTATCTGTTGCAGTTTTTGCTAAAGCTTCGCATAGTGTTCTATTAAATCGTTCCACTAATCCATTTGTTTGTGGATGATAAGGAGTAGAAAAATGATGTTTAATTTGAAATCGCTGGGTAAGACTGTCGATCATTTTATTATTGAAATGAGATCCTCTATCTGATAAAATTCTTGAAGGACATCCATGTTGACAAATAATATTTTCATAAATAAAGGTAGCAACATTTTCTGCTGTAGCTTCTGATAAGGATTTCGCTTCAGGCCATTTTGTTAAATAATCTATTGCGACTACAATATATCTATTACCTTTTTTAGAGCGTGGTAAAGGTCCTACTATATCTATTCCAATTTGATAAAAAGGTTCAAAGGCAGGTATTGGGTGTAATGGTTCTGTTCTTTTATACTTTCCCCTTCTTTGACATTGATCACATGCTTGAACATACGCTCTTATATTTTCATACATTTGAGGCCAGTAATACCTGGAACGTATTTTCTCAAACATTATATCTGTAGCAAAATGTCCAGCTGTTGGATCATTATGCATCATAAAAAGAACAGGTTCTGCTTCATAGTTTCTGATTACTCTGAGTAAATTGTTTTGTTGTCTTTTGTCTATTTTGTAGATAAAGTTATTTTTGATGATAAAATTTTTAGAAAAATTAATAAATTTGCGCTTTTGTTGTGTTGTTAAATTTGGTGGTAGTTGTTGTGATTGTAAATATTGATAAAGGTTTTGGTATTGTTGTAGTTCCATATTGTTTTGATTGATTATTATTAAAGGTTTTGTTGTTTTAATTGGTTAATAATTGAATTGGATAATTGTATAGATAATAAATAAATAATAATAATAAATAATAAAATAAAAAAAAAAGAAAATTTAATAAAGATGGGAAAAGAAATTAAATCGATATTTCCTTTGAGAGTGTTCCCAAAATGGTTCATTAATTAAATATTCAGGTTTAAATTCAGGTTGAATAATGTTGAATTTATTAGGAATTCTTAGTGGTCTACTATATCCATCATTTTGTACTTCATAAATATTCTTTTCTTCGCCAATAATTGCTAGAAAACATTCAGCTGAATTAATAGGTTATTCTGTTGGATTAATTCTTGAGAGAGCATCTGCATTGGCATTGGCTTTTCCAGCTCTATGCTGAATAGTAAAATCATATTGCTGTAGTTGCATAATCCATCTCGCTATCCTTCCAGTTGGAATTTTTGAAGTTTGAAACCATTTGAGGGCAGAATGGTAAGTAACTACTGAGAAAAGTAATAATCCTAAATAATGCTGAAAATAATTAATTGCCCATACAATAGCCAAACATTCTAGGTCTGTTAAAGCATAGTTTTGTTCATGTTTATTTAAACTTCTACTTGCATAAGCAACTACATATTCTTTTCCTTCTTTATCTTTTTGAGAGAGTACAGCTCCTAATCCTGTTCCAGAAGCATCAGTATATAAAATAAAAGGTTGTTCAAAGTCGGGATACCTCAAAATAGGTGCTGAGATTAATCTTTCTTTCAGGTGTTCAAATGCTTTCTGTTGCTTCTCTGTCCATTGAAATGGAGTTTCTTTTTGTAATAACTTAGAGATAGGCTTCGCAATTTTAGAAAAATCCTTGATAAATTTTCTGTAATAGGAGAATAATCCTAAAACCGATCTAATTTCAGTAACAGAGGTGGGTGCAGGAAAATTTCTAATCTTCTCTATTTTTGAAGGATCAACTCTTATACCATCTCTTCCTACGATATGTCCAAGGAAAGCAATACTAGGAAGGCAAAAATAACATTTCTTCAGCTTAATTTTTAAATTAGCATTTCTGAGCGCTTGGAAAACTTGAGTAATATTATCCAGATGTTGTTCAAAGGTCTTTGAGTAAATAATTATGTCATCTAAATAAACAGCCACGAATTTTCCCAAAAACTCTTGTAATACATAGTTCATTAACCTTTGGAAGGTTCCTGGAGCATTCCTCAATCCAAAAGGCATGACGTTAAATTCATATAATCCAAAATCTGTTATAAAAGCTGTTTTTTCCTTGTCTTTAGGATCCATTTCCACTTGCCAAAAGCCACTAGCAAGGTCTAATGTAGAGAACCAATTAGCAGTTCTGAAGGATTCAAGCAAATCATCGATACGAGGTAAGGGA